TTTACTAATACTTACTTTGAATATCGAACCATTGGGGCACAGACTTTTATCAGCTGCCCAGAATGAAGCATTTCTATTGGATCTTTTTTCTTTCTTGACATACTGTGGTTTGTATGCAGTCACTCTTCATGAATACAGATTTATTTCAAATCTGACAAAGACAGTTTGCAGAGAGAAAAATTACTTTCATTAGATGAATTCCCATCATTCTAACAATTGCAATTGCCCAGATTTTTTTTGGCATTTTTCAAATGCCAAGTTTTTTTTTGTTTTTTTTTTTGTTTTTTTGGGTCATGCTTGTGGGCTCAGGAATCTTTTTAGCTTCTTTTCACAGTATCAAATAGGATACTACAGAATCCTATCTCCATAAGTCACTGACAGTTTTTAGTACATAGTGAAATCATCACGTTTTTATATTCGGTACAAATTATGCTTGCTCGTGTCAAACACTCACAGTTTCAAATTATATACTTAACTCACTAACATTATCTGCTCAAATTAATAAATGCTCAAGATGTGGAAAACTACAAGTGTTTTTCCTTAGAATACCATGTTTTTTCATGTTACATTTAAAATTTTCCATGTTACTTTGTTTGGTATTGACAAACCAGAAAATTTAATTTGAATAATTTTATATATAAGACTATGTACGTCTGGCACTTTGAAATACCCTGTCTTATGCAGGAAAGCTAAATGGCATTAATTGAACTACTTTAAGCAAATCAAAAGATTTACTAGTCTATTTTGTGTTTATTCTTATTTGCATTTTCTATTCTTTGCATCTGAATCAGAAGGCAAACTTTTATTTAAAAAAATTTAAGTGTGGTATCATCTAGTAAAAATTTCAATTATAGTCATATAATTGCACAGTAAATCACTTTTTTTTTTAAAAGATTTTATTTATTTATTTGTCAGAGTGAGCGAGCATAGGCAGAGTGGCGGCAGAGGCAGAGGGAGAAGCAGGCTCCCCGATGAGCAAGGAGCCCAATGTGGGACTCTATTGCAGGACGCTGGGATCACGACCGGAGCCGAGGGCAGCCGCTCAACCAACTGAGCCACCCAGGCTCCCAGTAAATCAATTTTATACGCAAAGAGATACAAGTGATTAAGTTATAGTTCATAAATGTTTTTAAATTTGCTATACCTAGAATCCTTTCATTTCATAGTGTTGGCTGCTTTCCATATTCCAGTGTTTAGCTTTAGTAACTTAGTAACAGATACGGGCAAACTTTAGGAAGAGCTAATTGCTCAACATGCAATTATCTGCTTAGCTAATCCAGAAAGTACTATTATAATCTAAACATAAACTAGTTAATTTCCACTTCTATAGGTATAATGTAGAGTTGAAATAATCTAGTTTTACTGACCAATGCTGTCTTTTACTTCTTATTTATTTTTAAAGACTTTATTTGAGAGAGAGCGCTAGGGAACAGGGGTAGGAGCAGAGGGAGAGGGACAGGCAAACTCTGTGCTGAGCACAGAGCCTGAAGCCAGGCTCCATCTCAACCCTGAGATCATGATCTGAGCTGAAATCAGGAGTTGGATGCTTAACTGACTGAGCCACCCAGGCGCCCCTTACTTTTTTTAAAGTAAAAATTTATGATTAGAACAATGTGAGTCCACATACATAGGTAAAAATATGGAAGAGAAAGGTAGTTCCTTTTCATGAGTCAAGCCTGTTTCTTTTCTCTTGCATTTCTGCATCCTGATTATGCCACCTCTACACACTCAAGTCAGAAACCTGGGCTCTGTCCTCCACTCCTCCATCTCCCTCAAGTGTGTCAACCAAGTAGTATATTTAACTAAATCTTGAGCATATCTTCATTGCCTTAGTCTGTGTACTCATAATCCCCCATTCTGATGACTCTGACCATCTTCTCCGAATCCCAGAAAGAGCTGATCTTACTTATCCGCTACACCCTAGGCTCTCCTGTTACCAGGTGCACTTGTAATTACTTTTATGGAGTATAATAATAACACGTCCGTTTCTTCTTGAGTTTTTGAGGGCATGGACACGTATTTAATCAGTCAACAAATATTAAGCTCTTACTACATGTTGGGAATACAGGTGGAAAAACATTTGTCTTTAAAAATCTATTGGTTAGACATGCACAAAATGGTAGTTCTAATGCATACACTTGTACACAATTTAAGTGTTGTGGAAATAATTGTCTAGAGAAATGAGGGAAGTCATCAATAGTGAAGGAAGGAAAGCTTGAGCTGACAGATGTGGGAGATGGGGAACTGTCCTGTTACAGGAAGCAACACATATAAAACCAGAGGCTTGAAAATGTTTGATGAAATACACCTGAAGAGTGAAGCATTCGTAGTCCCGTGTTATTTGAGCAGATTAGAAGAGGCTGTGAGAAAGCCTAGATAATCATGGACCTTACATTCCATGTTGGTTTGCAGGGCCTTGGTTCTTAACCATTTTTCCACCTTTGTAGGTGATTTTTCATGTGCACCCAACATGTTAATATGGGCATATGACATACATTCATACATAGATTTTTAAGGGCTGTATGTCTCTCCTTGTATATTTGTAAATAACTTTAGCAGGAAGATGACATTAGATTTCTGATTTAAAGATTTCAATGAAGGGGGTAGGGCTTTTGGCAAAATATCAAAGGAGGCTATTGTAGTAAACTGGTCCAATGCATAAAGTGTCTCACGTGTGTCACTAGGAATAAGAAAAGAGAAATACTTAGGAGCTATTTAGAAATAAACTGGTGAGATATTTAGGAGGTGGAAATTACTTCAGGACAGTACATGTTTTACAGTATGAGAGAATTCTAGGATGATGTATACATTTGGTTTTAGAGGCTAGGTGGATGGCAATTCTAAGCAATGAGACAGAAAATGAGGAGCAATAGGTTTTAGTAGGGAAACATGAGTTCATATTTGGGCACATTGAATTTGAGGAGCTCACAGGATTTCCAGATGGTGATGCCTCACAACTGCTTATATAGATATGGTGCTCAGGAAAAAGCTAGATATAAAGATTAAGAGTCTTTTACCTTTAGGTAATCAGTTGAAACTAATCTCATGGACAAAGTACTTAAGGATGACATATTTTGCCAGAAATCTTAGGAGCACCAACATTTAAGTAAAAGACAAAAAAGAATAACACAAAGGAGACTGAGAGATGAATTCTGGAGCTGAGAAGAATAAACCTGAGGAGTGATATTCAAAAACTGAAAAGAGAGGCAAATAAGGACGGAGGGGATAAGCAACTTAAACAGTACAGAGAAGTTAAGTAAGGAAAAGACTAAAAAGCATCTAATAGTAACTAGGTCGTTAGTAACTTTAGCAGAAACAATTTCATTCTTATTCATTCCTGGTAGTTCCAGTACATGGCACAAAGGCCTCCCACAGTATGTATTTGCTTGATGAATAAATCAGTAACTTTCAATCCTGGTTGTACATTAGAATAATCTGGGGAGCTTTCAAGAATGAGGATGCTCAAACCATACCCCAGTCCAATTAAATGTGAATCTCTGGGCTTAAGATGCAGGTATCAGTGGTTTTTTAAAGCTCTCCAGGTGATTTCAATCTGTAGTTAAGCTTAATAAACAAACCCATAAACTGCAAAGCACCTGGTACAATTTGTTTACATGGGTTTCTACCTTACTTATGAGCTCCTCTGGGACAAGATAGGAATTGAGTCTCATTTGTAAACTCGTGCTGGTGGGTATGGCTGGGGCTCAAATCTCTTCACGAAATGAACAAGTATTACACAACTGTTCTAGAATCTTCTAATGTAAAAGCCAAGAAAAGAAAAAGATCCCGTAATTCAAAGATGAGTTTTATCCTTAAAGAATTAAAAATTCTGTGTATTATGGATAATGAAATCTAATGTGAATCTGAGCACGCTGCCCTGAACAATTCATGTGACTCATTCAGAAACAATTATAGACAGACCTGATTGAGACCAAAAATACTAGGAAAAAACCTGAGACAAAGTCAAGAGAAAGCATAGGCAGTGTATCAAAAGACATGCTTACCTGAGTGATTATGAGTATTAAACGCACAAAGTACTATTATAGCACCTTGTTGAAATACTGTTACCAGAATAGAGAGAACCGTGTAGCTCCGGAATCAGGAAAAACTGGTTTCTCGGCGTACAGGGTAAGTTGTATTACAGATTCTATTTAAGTAGGAATGATTAACCTTCTTGCACAAAGTGGTTAACCTGATAAATTATCAGTATTCATCTTGGGAGAAATCTAAGTGAATTTGTATTAGAGGAGAAAACAACGGGAACTAACTTGATTTGACAGTTTCAATACTGTTAGCTGAGATATGGAAAATCCATCAGTTTGTTAAGAGGAAAAAGTTTGGCATCACTCATAGCACGTGGCTGAAAAAGAGAGGAAGAGAGAGAAAAGGCTTAAAGTCAAGGGGGTGGGGCAGAGACTGAGTCCACCTGTCTTTTCCTGGTGCAGTCTTCCTTCTTCACCAACCTTCGGCTCTCCCTGACTCTGCCCTTAGTATTCATTCCCGCAACTTTCTTTCCCAAGCTTTCCCGCCAGCCTTCACCCCAAGACCATTAGCCAAGGCGTGTGACAGAAAAGGCTGGGGTTACTAATTCCCCCAGCTGTGTTTGTGGAGTGCAAGCGAAGCTCCCAGAAACCTCCGCTCTCCTGTCCAGCCTCCTTCGAGAGGCCCCTGTTCTCAGGTTAAATACTTGCACAGAGAAAAGCGCTTCCGCCAGGTTCCCGCGCCCACCTTCTCTTCAGCGGGGCGAACGATGCCAAGCCCAGGGGCGCGACAGGACGCGGCGCACGGCGCCAGTGCCGAGACCTCGGCTTCCCCCGCGCGTCGGGCCCTGGGCGCTCGCCAGCTCTGGGCCCCACGCTGCTCTCAGCCGGGATTCGTGCAGCTGCGGCCGCTGAGCCGATTCTCCACGCTGGCCAGGAGCCGCGGACTGGGCGGAGCCGGCGGCGCCGGCATTAAGCGTCACCACCCGGGCGGGGCGAAGCGGCCGCTGACGCCATCACCCAGGCACCTGCCAACATGGAAGGTGGTGACGGCGGCGTCTCTGTGGCTGGCCAAGGGGCTCTGGGCTCTGGGGCGGTGACGGCGACAGTCCGGGAGCTTCTGCAGGACGGTAAGGAGTCTGGGTCTGGCTGGGTGGTGGGCCCGGGGGACTGTTCTGTTCCGCACCTGGACCCGGGTGGTGGACTCAACCCGTCGCTTTGCAGAAAGTTTTCCGGTCTCGACGTGACCACTCCCCCCCCCCCGCCCGGCCCCCTGGCGTCTGGGTGCTGGCCTCGCCAACCTGTTTCTCCAGAGACTAACACCCCCTTTCCTTCCGCGTGTCCAGGGGACACTTAATTTCTGGTTGCTCCTCATTTCAACTCTACCCTTCCTGCACTTGAGGTTTCTCTGAAGTCCTGGGACTGCCGCACTCCGGCGACCCAGGTTGACAGCCGCAGGCAGCTGCCGCAATTGGAGAAAGCGTTGCATCCCATGAAGAATGAAAGACCTAGTACAGATAGATGACAGCTCTTAATGTTAAAAAAGCTTCATTTTAAAGTGGAGTTGGAAGCATCCCTCTCTTAACAAATTCTCGGGTTACACAGGTGGCCCACTCGCAGCCTAATTTTTTACAAGACGTTTATCCACAAGCATGCATGGGGACGAGTTCAGAACATTAGTTCAGGCAGGGATTAACCATAGGTATTGAATATAGCAATTTATTGATAGTTTTGGACAGAGGAGAACTCTAGGAAATAAGTTAAACATAGTACATTTGAGAAGTACATTAAATTGTATTAATTCAGTTAACACGCCGCAAATCTCTTATCCTTCAGAATAAAGTTCACAATTCTTCTCATCTGTTCTTAATTTTCTTCCCTAATTGCCATCACGTTCTACCTGGTATTGAAAATAATTTGTGTACCTGACTTTTTCTGCTATATTGTAGAACTGCTTTTTTACTCCACAGTTAATAATGGTACCTTTCATATGGTGGGTGCAGAATAAATTTTTTTTAAGATTATTTATTTATTTGACAGAGAGAGAGAGGTCACAAGTAGGCAGAGAGGCAGGCAGAGAGAGAGGGGGAAGCAGGCTCCCCGCCGAACAGAGAGCCAGATGCAGGGCTTGATCCTAGGACCCTGAGACCATGACCTGAGCTGAAGGCAGAGGCTTAAACCACTGAGCCACCCAGGTGCCCAGAGTAAATTTTTTAAATTGAACATCACAATAAGCGTATGCACACATTTTTTAATGAACATCACAGTAAGTATATGCACCCATTTGCAGATCAAAGTAGGTTATAAATGAATGAAATAACATTCTAAATTACTGTTTTCCTCTGAGTGTTGCGTATTATTGCCCTTAATTCCTTGCCTTCTGATAATGTATATACTTTTGTCAAAACTTTCTGATGAGGTGTTTTTGAACCGGATTGTGTTAGATTCTCTAGGTTAGAATCTCTGTCCAGTGCACCTCTGTATCTTGATTTAAATTCCATTTAACCAAATTTTGAACTCCTGATATGTGTGCAATTTCCAACCTCAAGCAGCTTGCCATTTTAATAAAGGGTAATAATCTTGTAAGCTGTAAAGTTAAGCATTATAATATAGTGTTGCTGGATAGCAGCATTGTGTACAAAGTCAAGCAATACAGAGGAGGATGATAACGGGGAGTGATTAGGGAACTGTCAAGAAAGGCTTTCTAGAGGGAATTAGTTTTGAAGTATAAATAGAACTTGCATAGGTGTATATTTCAGTAGGATGCATTCTGGAATTGTAATCAGTTTTTGAAAGGTGAATAGTCCTTAATTCTGCCTTCTCTATTTTCCTATTTAGTTCTCTTTTCTGTCTTCCACAGTGATTATTTAAATCCTTACTCTCGGGCGCCTGGGTGACTCAGTGGGTTGAGCCGCTGCCTTCGGCTCGGGTCATGATCTCGGGGTCCTGGGATCGAGTCCCGCATCGGGCTCTCTGCTCAGCGGGGAGCCTGCTTCCCTCTCTTTCTCTCTCTCTCTCTCTCTCTCTCTGCCTGCCTCTCTGTCTACTTGTGATCTCTCTGTCAAATAAATAAATAAAATCTTTAAAAAAAAATAAATCCTTACTCTCTCAGACCTCTCCTTTCAAACTCAATAAATGACTTTAAACTTCCCTGAAAAAAAGATAACTCATCATATAAAAGCTTCCTCCATTTCTTGCCATCAACATATAAACTAAACCTAAACCTGTAACTGACCTTTCTTTTTCCTTTGTATTTTTCGTTATACTGTAAGTGGAATCTCTGCTTCTAAGGATGGTTTTCCTCCTGTGCTCCGGGTCTTTTTTTTTTTTTTTTCCTGGCTCCTCAAGGACCCAGTCACCTTCATTCTATGTCATTGAAATCTCTTTGCCAAGGTCTCTAATGACCTCTTTGTGAATAAATCAAATGGATACTTTTTGGTCCTTACCTTACTTGAACTTGTAAAAGGGGTTTGACTCTTCTTGAAATACTTCCCTTCATGTGACTTGTGAGTTGTGTGCTTAAAAACAGATTTCCAAATTCTCTAAGTGCTCTTTTCCAAGTTTCTTTGATTGCTAGTCCTCTTCAGTTTGCCCCTAATTCAGTGGTTCACTCCACCCATTCTCTGCAACATTCCTAAAAAATTAAACATTTCTGTCCGTAATAATGATTCCGTATGTACAGGATCTGCCACTGGTAGAGGATAGGATTGATAGGGTTGGTGAGCAGATGCATAGTTGGAATAATTTGTGGGCTGTTTCTGATACACCTCCTATAGGAATGAGACAACTGTAAAAGAGAAGCATTATATGACTTTTCTTCTGATGGACAATCACTCCTCAAATGCCAAGTCCAATGGCCAGTATTCAGCCTTCACTGTTTGATCTTTGTAAGATCTTTGATGCCAGTTGTCACTTACTTTCTCTAAACCGTCCCTTGCCATTCTTTCTTGTTTTTCTTTCTCTCTGAACACTTCTTCGTCTCCTTGATTGCTTTCATTTTCTCCATGTACTTCCAGATTTTTGGTGTTTGGCTTCTGAACTCAGTCTTCTCCATTTCCCTTTCTGTGCATTCTAAAATTCATTCCTAAATCATTTGGTTTTTTTTTTTTATGGTTTCAAAATTAATATAGTTGTACACAAATACACACATACATGGTCCTTACCTCTCTTCTAAGCTGTAGAATTACTGTCTACTGGACATTTCTATCTTGATAGTGAACAGGCACGATTAGTTTTACTTACCAAAAGTTACATATGAACAAATAGTTCAGGTGCTACATGTGAAAAGGTGGGATTACTTCACTTTTTTTTTTTTTTTTTAACCCTTTTCCTCTAACCTTCTCTGTTACCATTGATTGTATGTGGTTAGTTAAATATGTGCTTGTTTCCCATGTAGATGACGAGTTCCTTGGAGGCAGCACTATGATCAATTTTATCTTTATGCAAAGATGCCTAGTGGTCGAACTTAATGCAAAGCTGAATTCCTTGTGTCAGTTACTCAGTCAAGAATCTTGGGAATCATCCCTATACTTCTTGCTCTACCTAATCACCCATTTTCAGCTTGTCTCTAAGTCCTACACATTATAGTATCTGAATATTTGTCAACTTAGTCATTTCCTTTTTTTTTAGGGTCACTGTCTTAGGCCTTCATCATGTCCTTTGGGCTGTTAACAGAGCACCTTACTGCTGGCTTCTGCAGCTCTATTACATGAGTGTGCTGGTAAACCAGCTTTCTGATACAATAGGAAAAGCCCTGATTTTGTAGTGTATGCCAGTTTCCATGGTATAAATACTTTCAACCTGGTCATTTTTTAGATGCCTACATGTGATGTTCCCTAGCTCACACAGTTCCTGAGAATTGAACTGTTGACTCTCAGGAGCCAATATGAGGCAGCTCCAGCACATCACTGGGTGACTAATCCCTTTTCAGTCATCCTCCACTCTGCTGCCAGAAACTAAAACACAAAGCTGACAGTGCTCTTTCTCATCTTTAACCTTAATGAGATATAGTCTGAACATTTTAGAAGTCTTACCAGTCTCTTTTTAAACTGGCCTCAGCCTTCCTTTGGAACCTCAACTCCTATCATTCTTTCCCCTTCTGCCCAGCAGTGTGATCTAGACACACTGACGTCAGTGTTGCCCTTCTTTCTCAAAATACGCTCTGGCATTTGCTGCCTCTACACCTTCCCTCTTCTTGGAGTAGCCTTCTCCACTTGGCTGCCTTGCAGGATCCTTAATCCTGAAAACTCCTTGGCAAACTGGAAGGACATGGGGTTCCCAGAATTAAGGCCAAAGTAGTAGGTTTTTTTTGTTTTGTTTTGTTTTTTGTTTTTTTTTTTTAAAAGATTTTATTTTTTTGACAGACAGAGATCACAAGTAGGCAGAGTGGCAGGCAGAGAGAGAGGAGGAAGCAGGCTCCCCGCTGAGCAGAGAGCCCGATACGGGGCTCGATCCCAGGACCCTGGGACCCTGGGACTATGACCTGAGCCTAAGGCAGAGGCTTTAACCCACTGAGCCACCCAGGCGCCCCCAAAGTAGTAGTTTTTCTTTCACTTTGAGAATCATCAAGAATGAGTCTTTGTTCCTTGCAGAATGCTACTTCCAGGTCATATATGGATGAATTCATTCATTCAACTGGTCCAGAACACCTGCCATGCGTCAGGCATTGCTCAGGCTCTAGGGATGTGGGAGTAAACAAAACAAAGTCCTTGCCCTTATGGAGCATGCATTATATGGATAGAGATAATAGAAATTGTCTGATAAGGACTCTATTTTGCTGGTTAGTTTTATAATCTCTGTCAGGGTAGTCTTACCTATATCTCCCACATGGGTGGAAGGTAGTGGTTTTCTACCTACCCTGAGCTCACTTCTACATAATGATTTTTAACTCTTAATTCTCTCCATTTGACTTTCACCCACAGATCTTTGGGTTTCTGTACTGGAAGATAGCTTAACATCTAGCATCATTACTTTTTTTGTGTTTAGTAAGGGTCTGTTTTGAACATAGGCTGTCTTTCCATTTACTTATTTCACCCATAAATCCTTAGTGTCAGTAACACCTGAAAGTTTGTGTTTGCCTATTACTTTTTTTTTTTTTAAGATTTTATTTATTTGTCAGAGAGAGAGAGACAGCGCGGGCGAGCACAGGCAGACAGAGGGGCAGGCAGAGGCAGAGGGAGAAGCCGGCTTCCCGCCAAGCTAGGAGCCCGATGTGGGACTCGATCCTAGGACACTGGGATCATGACCTGAGCCCAAGGCAGCTGCTTAACCAACTGAGCCATCCAGGCGTCCCTGTGTTTGCCTATTTCTATTAAAATTCCAGATTCACTTTATTATGACAGCATTTGTGTATTGATTTAGAGATATTTGAGACCATAAATGTCAAATATAGTCAGTTTGCCTGTTGTCATTGTCAGTGACCTTGTTTTCTTGCATTAAAGGCTATGGTTAGTAGTTAATTTTTAGTCTTCTACTCTTATATGTTCCTTTCGACTCTCTGGTAAAAGTTAACTTTCAGCAGTGTAATATAGGTGTTCAGACTGTGGGCTCTGCAACCTGGATTTGTATCTCAGACAGGTTGGGCAAATTGCATGTCCTGTCTTTACCTGTCTCTTCATCTGTGGAATGGGGGAAATGATAGTTCCAGCAGGGTTGTGTGAGGTTGAATGAGCTAATATGTTTAAAGTGCATGGGTCAGTGCCTGGCCCACAGTAAGCTCTCAGTGAATGTTCCCACTCTCTTCTCATTTACAGCAGTTCTTGGTGTATAAAAAAGGTCAAAGTATGTTATCTATATTGGTTTTGTTGTCTGATATCTGGTTTAGTGCAGTGCAATTAATAATTAAAGACTTTTCCTTATTTTTTTTCCCCTAGAGTGTTACAGGGATTTTTTAAATGAAGACTTTGATGTAAAGACTTATACTTCCCAGTCTATTCATCAAGCCGTAATTGCTGAACAGCTAGCAAAACTTGCCCAAGGAATCAGTCAGTTGGATAAAGAATTACATCTACAGGTATTTCCAATCTTCTGGATCATCTGGATTCTTCAATCTAAAGATAAAATAATTTATCACTTGTAATACTTTTATTATTTAATCTAAATGAATATTTAAATGAGCAAATGTGTAACTTACCAGTGTGGCTTATTTTTCAAAGTATGTTTTTGAAAAGTTTTCTATAAACTACCTTTTGTTAGGTGAAAAACTAACCTACCCGTCTCTCCAAAAGCTGTTGTTCATACTTTGCTTTCATCTCCTTAACAGATGTGCAGTGAATATAAGTAGGTGAAAAATGGAAGCCTTTGATAAAAGCAATAGAAAATGGACTTTTGGAAGTAGAACAGTGTGAATAAGAAAAATTGGTGTGTTCCCATTGGCACTTCCCACTTTATGAAACTGTAATATTTGCTGAAATTCTAGAAAGTTGATAAGTTTGTGGTAGAAAGAACACAATATAGGGAATTAGGAGATGGGTCCCAATCTTAGCTGTGCTGGTCCCTTAATGTCTCTGAGTTTTGCTTTTAAAAAAGGAAATCTATTAAATGGGTTGGAGTGAATATGGAGGAAGAGATTATAGTGGAAGATCTTGAAGGTTCCTTCCTTTTCTACAATTCTGTAATTTTATAGGGAGTTTTATAGTATATTTCCTATTTTGGCTTTTGTAGAATAGGCACTTAATAAATATAAATGAATGAACAAATGCATGAGTATATGGACTGTTTACCAGGAAACTGAGATCTGTTATAACATGAGATGTATTCATTTAAATTTTTTATATTGTACTTTATCAGTTGAAAGAGTAGCTTAGGACTGGGATGACTTCTAAGGTCACTTTAACTGTGATTATATATTATGTATTTTAATTACACATTTAGTTGTATATTTTAATTGTCAGGATTCACATTAGGCTGTGGGGATAGAAAAATGAACATATTTCCCAGCTCTCCAAGGACTCACAGACCAGTGGCAGATACAGAGAGAAATAATGATAGGGAAGAGATGCCTGTTTTATTTAGAATAGTAGGAAGCATTCATAAAAGCAGGAGAGAATGCACTTAACTCTGCCTAGGGTTCTCAGGGGTGGCTTTTTATAATAGCTACCTGAAATTCCTTTTTTTTGCTTTTTTATGGTTGTTATTTTCTTTTTTTCCCCCCAAGGTTTTATTTAAATTCCAGTTAACATATGATGTAATATTAGTCTTAGCTATAGAATTTAGTGATTTGTCACTCATACTCACCACCCAGTGCTCATCATAAGTCCCCTCCTTAATCTCTGTCATCTATCTAGCCCACCCCCTGCCCACCTCTGCTCCAGCAACCCTCAATTTGTTCTCTGTAGTTAAGAGTCTGTTTCCTGGTTTGCCTCTCTTTCTCCATCCCCCTGCCATGTTCATCTGTTTGCTTTTTAAATTCTGTATATGTATGAAATCATAAGGTATTTGTCTTTCTCTGACTTAATTTGCTTAGCAAATATTCTCTAGCTCCATCCACATTGTTGCAAATGGCAAGATTTCATTCTTTTTTTATGGCTGAGTAATATGATTGGTATTTTCTTTATTCCTTGCATGCAGTACCTTCTTTGCAGGAATCAATAAAAACTAAAAGTTTGTTTAACATCTCTTACGGGGACAAATTATACTTATGGTAGTTTGGAATGTGAAGTAGAGGCCTAGTATGGGCCCTGAACCTGCTATAATTCTTTCTCTGCAGAAGAAAAATTGGGATAATGCTAACCAAACCCATAAATTTTGTTTTAAATATCGTTGAGATGAATAAAATAATAGAAGATGTGATGAAGTATGTATTGGGGCTTTGGACAGGAAACAGAAACCACACTAAGTATTTAAAGCCGGAAGATGTTTAATACAGAGAACTGTATAATACAGATGCTTCTGAAGTCAGCCAGTGGACTGAGTTGAAGGATCTACTTTCATAGATGCAGTGCGGAGGCCTGGAAGCTCCAGCCCTTACCTCCCATGCCACTGCTAAAATTCTGCCTCGGGGTATCCGGTAACTTAATTCTAGAATGATTGATACGGTTTTCCAACCATCTCTAAATTCAGGTGTCAGGACCTTGCTCATTACTAGCTGAAACAATAAGAAGATAGCATTCCTTTCTTTTCTGTCTTCAGATCTCTTGGAAATTCATCCAGCTGGCTGCAGGGGAGTTTATGAAAGTCTTGCTTTAGGAGTTTCAACATTTTCAAAGTATTCTTCACACAGAAAAAAGATGAATAGAGAATTAAATTTAGTCTTGTTAGGATGGACAGACCGATGACCGTATCAGTGGCCTGGGGGAGAATTCAGACATGTTCTGGCCATCTTAACAGACATAGGAAACCAAAAGTAGTAGTTAATTTAGATGGCTGTGGTAGAAAGGGACTTGATAGAATAACAGTGATATCTGAAACAGGACAAAGTGGAGGTAGTAGGGGTTCCAGTGAATGAATCCTTGCTGACTAGGAGCTTCAGTTTCCAGCCTAGATAGGGAACAACTTCTTCATTGGAACTGAAAAGGTACAAAATGATAAGGATTTTTGCATTATTCTAAAGAATAATGATTACTCATGATTTCTTGATGTTTCTAGGAATCTCTTGCATGTGGTCTTTACCTCTTAAGCTTTTTGGGTTTTTGATGTGATCATTCACACTGCCCTAATTTTCATTAAAAAAATCAGTCTTGCGCAGGGAAAGGGATTTGCTGTGACCTTGGGAAACTGAAAGCAGAGAGATGTTTAGGGATAGGTGGGTACTGACTCTGTGTTATGTTTTCAGATTAGGATATGCTGAATTAAGTTCAAGAACTAAGAGAACCTAATGTTTAAAAACATTTTTACAAGGAAAACATAATAGTATTGCAAAAATTAGCTGGTTGTTTGTTTGTTTGTTTTTCAATTTTGGCACAATTCTACCTGCACTTCCCATTAAGAAAACAAGGGCTGGTGAAAAGGCTGTGTCTTCTTCGGCTCTATGTTCAATTATAAGCATGTTTATGTTTCTGCTAATAACTCATCTCAAATGTACCCTTATCACCTGTATTTTTTTCTTCGGTGTTGGTGTTTGTGCCTTCCTCTATGGAGAGAGACCTTTATTCTTCCTTGTAGTTATGAAGAAAAATACCCAATACTCACAGCAAATTCTTGATTTCCAGGTTGTTGCAAGGCATGAAGATTTACTAGCACAAGCAACTGGTATTGAGTCTTTGGAAGGTATGTTTCCATTAAGTACTATAAATTAGATTGAGCTAGACCAGGGACTGGCAAACTTTTACTGTTAAGCGTCAGATAGTAAATATTTTAGACTTTGGAGGCCATACTATTTCTGTTTCAGCTACTAAACTCTGCTATTTCAGAGTGAAAGCAGCCAGATAATATGTAAATGATTATCACTATGTCCCAACAAAACTTTAATAAAAACTTTATTGACCTCTGAGCTAAACTATCTGGGTTCAAATCCTTGCTTTGCCACTTAGAAGATATGTGACTATGGACAAGTTATTTAACCTTTGTATGGCTCCCTTTTATCTGCAAAGGAGAAGTTTTTTTTTTTTTTAAGATTTTATTTATTTATTTGACAGAGATCATAAGTAGGCAGAGAGGCAGGCAGAGGTGGGCGGGGGGAAGCAGGCTCCCCACTGAGCAGAGAGCCTGATGCGGGGCTCCGGCAGAGGCTTTAACCCACTGAGCCACCCAGGCGCCCCCAAGGGAAGAGTATTACAATGTACCTGTATGTTGTTATTTTGAGGGCTAAGTGAATTAGAAAAATGGTTGGAACAATTCCTGGTACATATTTAGTGCCTCTATAAAATTAACAGAAAATTGTTAATTAATGAAAACATCAATACCACCAGAGTGAGTAATAGTGGAGGTAGACTTGAATACTTTCCTTACTTTTGGCTTTCTTTGAAACTTTTTTCAATGACGGTATAATAGAATAATAATATATTGGGGGCGTCTGGGTGGTTCAGTTGGTTAAGCATCTGACTCTTGATTCAGCTCGGGTCATAATCTCAGGGTTGCAAGATTATGCCCCAAGTCAGGCTCTTGCTCAGTGCAGAGTCTGCTTGAGATTCTTGTTCCCCTCACCTTCACGCATGTGCACAAGCGCCTCCCTATTTCTCTCTAAATAAATAAAATCTTAAAAAAAGAATAATACATTGGATTTATATTTTTATGAATCTTAGTATTTTTGATTAGATAAATCTTTTATGAATTTTTCATTGTCTCTTGATTAAATTAAACTACATCTTATAAATATGGAATGTTAATAACATGTTTTACATTATCACTTGTGTTGTGATTACTATTATTAATCTTTACATATTAAAAGAAAACTGATTTTCCCTATGTTGATCAAATTCTTGGGGAGGAAGGATATTGCTTTCTGGGATGCAATATGCTTTCATGCTTCAATGCTTCCCCCCGTATTTCTTATGCACTCAAAGGTGTTAACTTATTCTCAGCATGTATACTGTTTCTCAGACATCCTGATGAAGAACTTAGTATTTGAGGGAATAATAGTTTGTTATTTGAATATTTAATTGGATATCAGACTATGTTCTTGGGAAAACTGAGTACTGACCACTTCCTATTGGAAATGAATTATTTTTAATCTTATATCATTTTATGTGTTTCTGGAAGCAGGTAAATAATATCCTGTTTTAATGGTGATTTGTTTTTAAAACAAATGAGAGGTGATTTTTTAAATTTGTAAAACCCATAAGGATGGCTGGTCGTACATTGATTCTGAGTGTATTTAGGTGTAGATGAATCATCACAATAGAAATAGTTCTCATTGTGGTTTTTTTTTTATATACATTTGGGTCTACAATGTGCTTGTTTTCCCCAAAATGCTTTTCAGTGATTATGACACTTAAAATGTATGGTTAGACTGAGTTAGAATGACTATCCATTGGATGAGTATATGAGGTATAAAGACTGCGTTCTCTGAGTTCTTGTGATAATTTAAGCATCTTCTCTGGATTGTTTGAATATAAACAAATTTGAATTACTTGAATTAGTATTAATAGTATTAATTTGAATTAGTGTTAATAGTATTAATTCTTCAATCAAATTAGTAGAATTTGATTTTTTGAAGTAGTATTCATTTTGGCATTATGTGTATTTCTAAGTACTTACTAGTATGTTGAGATCCTGAAAAATAAGCGTGATCTGTATTTGAAAATGGATAGTATCCCACCTTCTACTTCATCAGCTTTTTTTTTAAAGATTTTATTTATTTATCAGACAGAGATCACAAGTAGGCAGAGAGGCGGGCAGAGAGAGAGGGGGAAGCAGGCTCCCTGCTGAGCCCCATGTGGGACTCAATCCCAGGACCCTGAGATCATGACCTGAGCCGAAGGCAGAGGCTTTAATTCACTGAGCCACCCAGGCGCCCCTACTTCATCAGCTTTTTAACCCCCAATATTGAATTTTGCCATGTAAATAGTTCAGCATTACGTTTATTGAACCTATTTTATTAAAAGTTGTCCCCTATTCATTTTCATTCATTTATTTATTTAAATATTAGTTGGGGGGGGTGCCTGGCTGGCTCAGTGGTTAATCGCCCACCTTTGGCGCAAGCCATGGTCTCAGGGTCCTAGGATTGAGCCCCAAGTCGGGCTCCCTGCTCAGTGGGAATCTGGTTCTCCCTCCCCCTCTGCCCCCCCCTTCCCACTCATGCTCTCTCTCTCTCAAATAAATAAAATCTTTAAAAAATTGATAATTTGCTAGGTTCCAGACATCTGGATTTGGGATTTAGAGGTATTTTTAATTAACCCTATTTTATTGAAAAGAGATATCCTCATTCCTTCATTCATTTGTTCAAACAGTAACTGAGAACTTGTTAGGTACCAGGCACTTACGAACGATAGTCACTGTTCTTATGGAACTTGTGTTCTAAGGCAGGGAAGCAGACAAAGAAAATACACAAATGGGAATCTTCAGATATTTTTAAGTTCCACAAAGAAAATAAAATGGTTGATTAGTTGGAAGAAAGGGAGTCCCTTACTAGCTAGGATATTTGGGAGGGGGTGGCCTTTTTTACAAGATGACATTTAAGCTGAGAACTGAATGATGAGAAACAGCCACCACATGAAAAGTGGAAGAAGAGTGTGTGGTAAGCTGAAAGACCAATAAATGGGAAGGTAGGAATTAACGTGGGATGTATGAGGGACAGAAAAAAGGCCAGTATGAGAGGAATTTAATGAATAAAGGAGAGAATTGTAGATGAGGTTCCTGGAAAAGAATTTTGATTTTTTCATTCTAAATGCAGTGGTAAACCATTGGAGGGTTTTTATTAGGGGTATGGTATATAAGACTAATGCTCTAAAAAGTTTTCTTTTTAGAAATCAGTAGAATCAGGGGTACCAGTTTAGAAGATACTAGAAGAGAGTTGATGGTGCCTCGGATAAGAGTGGTAGATGTGAGAGAGGAAAGTGGGTGGCATAAAAGGAGGGCAGAGCTGATGGGGTTTGTTGATGGGAGATGAAAGAGCTGAGGGAAAAAAGTCACCAAGTATGATTCCTAAGATTTTAGTCTGAAAAATGGGATAGGTAATAGTATAGATAACTGAGATGGGTTAAAATGGAGAGGATTATAATTTTGATGGGGCAAGGGTGGGGCGGAAGTTATCTTGGGTGTCTTAATTTGACGAAAGTTCAGATCTAGAGATTTGTGTGTGCATGTGTGTGTGTGTGTACATAGGTAGGCAGACATAAAACTGTATAGATATGTGTACCTATGTGTGGATGTGTTTATACAAAACTGGTATTTTATTGAATAGGTAGTATTTAAAACATTGGGATTAGGTGAAATCCCTAAGAGACATTGTAGACAGGGAAGTGAAAGTGACAGAGGATGAAATCTTAGAGTATTCTGGCATGTAGGACTCTAGCAGAGGAGGAGGAACCACTAATGTAATAGGAAGAAACCCAGGGAGTGTGTTAACTTGGAAGCCCAGAGGAAAAAAAGTGTTTAAGGGAGGGAGTGGTTTGACTCTGTTGTGAATTTCAGAGAATTTGAGCAAGATAAAGACAGAACTGACAATAGAATTTGGCACCTTGGGGATTTCTGGTGACCTTGTTAAGATTGATTTTGGTGTAGTATGTATGAAAGTGTGTTTGAGAGTAGGTTGTGGATAGAATAAGATGTGAGGACATGATGATAACAAATAAAAGAAGTTCATTTCTGGTGGTTTAAGGTAAAGGAACCATAAAACCAGCAGAAAAATTGGACTGAGCTATACTAAAGCATAATTGTATCTGATAATGTTTATTAGTTCTAATATTACTTCATCTAATATATGACAGAGTTCTGTACCTAAGTTTATTTAGAATATTGTTTTATTATTTATTTATTTATTTATTTTTTATTAAATTTTATTTTTTATAAACATATATTTTTATCCCCAGGGGTACAGGTCTGTGAATCGCCAGGTTTACACACTTCACAGCACTCACCATAGCACATACCCTCCCCAATGTCCATAATCCCACCCCCCC